TACACACATTCCACTTGGCTACTGCAAAAAGTATTATAAGGGCAGAAATAGAGAGCTCTGGAAGTTTTTTTAATAGAATTTATTCATTTCATAAACGTAATTCTATGTTCAATAAAAAATGAAAATACAAATGATATGAAATGAAAGGTGGCAGAGAGAAGAAAAAATCTTATTACATCTGCCCATTTTTCCTCAAGTATAAATTCAAACAATAATGACCTTCAGTTAACAAAACAAAACAAAAACATCAAATCTTTCTAGAACAACAAATGATATGGATACAGATTATATTGTTTCATATTTTTTAACAATCTAGCCTTTATCATTCTTTTAAACATGTACAGTGATTTGGCACTTTTAATATCATTTTCCAGATTACATTACATAGTTCAATTTGTGTTGCTCTGCAGGAATTTGATTTCACTTTGACACTGAATAGTTTCTTTGTTTTTGTGAAGGTCACTTATATTGACCATAATTGATGACTGCAATAACAGCATAAAACACACAAGGGGATGAATAGTTTTAATGCACAGTACACTAGAAGTTGAACGTTGATGGGKTTTTTTTCGTTGATGTTTTTATTTTATTTTATTATTTTTTTTGGCCTTGTGTTCTGTACAGTCTGAACTGTCAGACTCTTGCAGTGATTTAAAATTGTCAATTAATATCTTCTGGTTATTTAAGTTAGGGAATACAGACTTAATTGTTGGTGTTATTTTCAAAGCATAAACAGAAATATATTCATGAAATGAATATAAAGTCAGCATAAAAGGATTTTGTTAGCATACCAGTAGTGCTAGTTTTATTTTAATCCTTTTGATGTTTTTTTTTTATTTCTTAAATTGTATAACATTGAACAAATGACGTATCTCATACATTTTAGATCAAATCAGCAGTGACTCCTTTTTTGGGGTGGGGAAGTTGTTGCCAGTCAACTCCACTCTTACCTTTCCAACAATAACCTTTATGAGGAGTTTCAATCTGGTTTTCGCCCCCACCGAAACCGCCCTCATAAAAATCACCAGTGATCTTCTCCTTGCTGCCGACTCTGGCCTCCTGTCCATCCTCATCCTCCTTGACCTAAGTGCTGCTTTTGATACAATCTCTCATTCTATTCTCCTCAACAGACTCACATCCATTGGCATCTCAGGTACTGCGTTTAACTGGCTCAAAACCTATCTTTCTGTCAGCACTCAATTCATTTGAGATTAAATCCTTCCACTCTGAGTCATCCCCCATCTCCACTGGCGTGCCCCAAGGCTCTGTCCTTGGACCCCTTCTCTTCATTACTTTCCTCCTTCCTCTTGGTTACATTTTCCTCAAGTTTGGTGTCCATTTCCATTGTTATGCAGATGACACACAGCTCTACCTGTCAACCAAGCCAAACTCTGCACACCCTCCCTCCATCCTCTCTGACTGTCTCAGTGAACTCAATCACTGGTTTTCAGACAATTTCCTTCAACTGAATAGTGACAAAACAGAAATCATTCTTGTCGGCACTAAAAATTCAGTCTCAAAATCTAACAATCTCCTCATCCCTATCAACAACTCCCTGCTAACCCCGTCCCCTCAGGTCAAGAGTCTTGGTGTCATCCTGTACACCACTCTCTCCTTCACTGCCCACATCAATAATGTTACTACTTCCACCTCAGAAATATCAACCGTCTCCGTCCTTCTCTCACACCCCACACTACAGCCATCCTTGTCCACAGTCTTGTGACCTCACGGATCGACTACTGCAACTCTCTCCTTTTTGACCTCCCCAACAAATCCCTCCATAAGCTTCAGATGGTCCAGAACTCAGCTGCACGTGTCATCATCCAAACCTCCTCCCATAACCACATCAACCCAGTCCTGCAGCAGCTCCACTGGCTCCCGGTCAAATCACGCATCATCTTCAAAATTCATCTTCTCGTGTTTAAAGCTATCCACCATCTTGCCCCTCCTTACATGTCCGACCTCATACACATCTCCATCCCCTCCCGTTTTCTCAGATCCTCTTCTTCCCTAAACCTCCAAGTACCCACTGCCCGCCTCTCCACCATGGGGAGCAGGGCCTTCACCTGCTCTGCACCTCTCCTCTGGAACTCCACCTGACCTAAGAAACACCACCTCTCTTCCCGTGTTCAAGACTGCTTTGAAAACACCTCTTTAGATTAGCATATCCATCTTAACTTCATTTGTAAACAATTCTCTGTAACTCATGCCAGCTTGTCTCTAATCAGTATTTTCACACATTCTCCTATGATGTACCTACTGCTGTAAGTTTCCTTGGGTGTCCTGAAAGGCGCTTTTCAAATAAAATTATTATTATTATTATTATTGTTGTTGTTGTTGTTGTTRTTATTATTAAATATACAAAACTCTGAGACAAATAAAATCCAGTGTTAATATGAAAATGTTTTTGTGACCTGTTCCTGTTTCAGGTGGTCGTATCTATCCTGTGTCGGTGCCGTACTCCAACAGCCAGAGCACCAGTAAGACAAGTGTCACCCTCTCACTGGTAATGCCCTCCCAAAATACCCTCGCCAATGGGACCAACACTGCCTCCACCCTGGAGGAAGGCACCCCCACACCAGGGTAAGCCTAGGATTAGTTCTGTCCCTACAGGCTGTAGGATTTTCTCTTTTCTCCTTTCTCCTGCTTTGCATTTTCTTAATTCTTGTTTTGTTTTTTTGTTTTTTGGGGGGTTTTTTTAGGCCAGTTTCATTGAAGTTTTTTTGTTTTGTTTTGTTTTACTGCTGTTGGGTTGGTACTCAGGGAGAGCTTTGTTCTGGCTTGCCACTCCTCTCCCCTATTGTTGCGTTTATTTTGACTGTACTTAAATAAGCAAGGTTAGGCTTCCTTGTTTCACCCTGATGTAATTTTAGGTAAGCTTGGTTTTTCACTCCCCTGTTGTGTTTATTTATATTGAAGGACAGTTTTCACTTCCCCATAGTTGTGCTGTGGCTTTCTCCATGAATGCAATACACTTACTTTTCAGAAAGAAGTGGCTTACCAGTTACCATTGGGAAAAAAACATGTTTTTTTAATATATATTTATCTTGGCCAAACACAACTGTGTGTAGACATGTGGTTAAATTAGTTGTGAGATGAAAAGGGATGTTCTGGAAACAAACTAGAAACGTAAATTGTTGGTTTTTGTCTCGGGTTTGTGCTTCATGAAAGGCAGCAGGGGTTTATAAAGCAATACAGACGGTTTACTTTGGTTAAAGTGTTGGTTTGGTTTAAAGCCTTATTAGGCTGCGTAACTTGGTATGTTAGATTTAAAAAAATAAAAGTAGCTTTGCATGTTTTCTGCTGTTAGACTTTCAGTAATTATAAATACGACTGCCCAAGTAATCGTCAGCCTTTGTCAACACAGTTTATAAAAGTGTCTTAACTTTGTCAGGTTCTTTGTTTGAAAAGTCTCTAAATATAATTCAGCAACACATGACTAACACTTTGTGTACAGCTGCACTGTGTAAACAAGGCTACTGCGTCAGTGTTGCATGTGCACTTTTGCTTTTCCTGACTTTCTTCTTGTTACTCAGTCATCCTCAAAGATTTCTACTCCAGGTTCTCTTCCTTCTTGACTTGTGGTCTGCCTCTCACTGTCTGACTTATGTCTGTATATTTCTCTTCTTCATGGACCTTGGCTTGCTGTTATTTGTCCTCTACCTCTTATTTCTCCGCTCCTTAAGCATGTTTCACCCGACTGCCTGCCAAGCTTTTGTTGACATCCTGCAGCCCATATTTGAACTCCCTCTTTCTCATCAGCATCCTCCTCCCCTCTCTCTCTCTACCTCTGTCTTTTCTTTCTCCACCACACCCCGTCTTCCCCGACCCTTACCCCTTTCCACTTCTCTCTTTTGTCTCCCTACCCATGACACATACCTCTTTCCCTCCCACRATTCCCCCACTTCCTCCTTCTCCTCTATTCCAACACTTATACCCGTCTCCTCCTCCTTCACGTCTTCCACTCTTCCCAATCAACCATCTCCCTCCTCCTCCTCCTCCATCTTCTGCTCCTCCACTCTCCCCAGCAGTCAGAGCCCCACAGCCACCCTGCAGTCCACCAACACCCAGACGCAGAGCTCCAGCTCCAGCTCGGGGGATGGAAGCTTGTTCCGAAGCCAGAGAGGAAGCCAAGCAGCACAGCCTGATGAGACGGGCAGGGTCCCGCCCTATGTGGACTTCAGTCAGTTTTATCTGCTGTGGGGAGCCAACCAAGGCGACAGCCAGAGCACACAAGGAGGCCTCGGACCCCAATGAGAAGGACACAAAAAGGTCTGGAGTTTTTGGCAACAAGAAGACATGTTTGAAGAAACACGTAGTGATACAAAATATTTTATCATGGTATCACAGCAGAAACCAAATAACCTGAAGTTTTACGTGGACGTAACTAGAATGAACTTACCTTCTCATCATTTTGCAATGGAGTGCAGTGAGGCAAGTGTGTCACATACCCCTGATTAATGTTTGCTCTTCTGTATCAAGCAGTTGTGATTCAATATATATTCCAGATTGTAGAAATTACTGTTGAATGCAAAAGTAATTACACATTGCAAGTCCTTAAAATGTATTGAATGGGATTTTTTTATTTGTAAGGAAAATAAGATATGCATTCAGATTATTCTACTTTGTGCTTATTATTTTCGCTGAATGCTCAGTTTTATTAAATATGTACAAATGCTCTGTCTAAGGCTTTTTTTATTTTGGTTTTATTATGAAACATAGATAGTAACAGTCTGGCATATGAGATATTTAAATTTTCTTATTAAATCTTTGATTAGTACTTTTTCCCCATCGGAGGTAACAAAACACCTTTGCTTATATTCTTCATGAAACATGTTTGACTTCCTATTTTTCATTTTATGTCTTCACAAACTAAAACTGGTATATAAACACTTAAAGCAGGGGTGTCAAATTCATTTTCACCAAGGGCCACATGGACATTACAGTGGCTCTCTGAAGGAGGGTTGTAAATAACTTCCATGTTTCGTGTTTAACTTCAGCTAAACATGAAGCGTCACATCATCCCTAGAGCACTGCCAACAAACTAATTGAGCTCTATGTGGTGTTTCGTGCATAGAAAAAGCGTTTTAATACATCCTCTCATAAACACTAAAAAGTACTTTGTGCACAACGGACTAAATCTGAAATAAATAATACAGAAATACTGTTAAAAGTGAAAGTAAGCCAGTTTTACTCACTGTTGAGTTGTGGTGAGTAGTGGCTGTCTTGAATTCTGAACTCTCCCCCTCCGACAGGGAATTCCCACTGGAGGGAATTTATGACTCGTAAGTGGGAAATTCCAGCTTCCCAGTACAAGTAGGCCTTAGCGAAATTAGTATGTAGATTTTACATTTTGTTAGCTGCTGTTAGGGGGGCAGGACCTCATCGGCAAGTGAGACAGAAGTCACCACGGGTCTTGAGTTAGACTATCACTTAAAGAATGCAAAAGTACAAGTATACACTTTTTCTATATCAGTCGTTCGCCTTTACAGAGGGTCTAATTAATAAAGGTACCACACATGTTCAATGTACTTAGCAGACAGGTTATTCCAGTTATTTGGGAATATTTTAGTTGTCAGTGTGTCACTTCTTTGTGGAAAGTGACAGAACAAAAGACTGATACAATCAATGCACTGCAGGGATAAATGATGTACTGGCCTTTTCTGTAAATTAAATGAAGGGAAACATACAGTCACACTTGTGTAGGTGTGACCCTGGTGGACTAGAAACTTCTGTGTAACCCTTAAGAGACACAAAAACAAAAAGTCTGTATCCAAAACATGTAAGAAAGCATCTCAGAACGTGCAAGTAGTTGCATAATATTGCAACTATACATATCACAAGACCTCTGTTTTTGTTTTGTTTATTTGCTTAACTGATTTTACAGCAAGTTTACATCCTGTTGTTCATGAGGATTATATCATTTATAGTTTCCTRAAGCTTAGCTACTCTGTAATGAATGTGGTCAAATTTAAAACAGAACAKAATACACAAAAGATACAATTGTAAGAAAAGAAAAAGGTAAATAAGTGTACATGTGAATTTTCCTTGGTTTGTTTCTGCTACACTCCTGATGGAAATTTGATTTTTGTTGTGGGAAATTCATCAGATGTATCTGTAAAAAAACAAAAAGTCCAAAACTTCACTGACAGGCAGCAGCTGATGACATTCAGTTCATGTTTAGTTAATTTCATGTTGTACAGAATCTGATAATGATCTTTGTACTTACATTTAAAAGGTTGAAAAGTTAAGAATGCATATTTAGCGACCATTATCACCACTGTGGTCTGTCCTGTGTTTTTAGTAGCTGTTGTGTCTTCATTGAGTTAAAAATTTACCAGCTTGGACTTGCCTCTCTGTGGGTGTGTTCAAGGTGGAATCACACCTACTAAAGTACAACATTAAAAGAGTTCTATCCAGCCTACCACAAAGACTTTATACCTTTCACCTCTGTTACCAGAGCTGTTTATTGTTTACTTGAAAGCGGGAGACAAACCAACTGGTTTTTGGATTCCTCTGTATATTGGAAATCAAGCAGAAGCGAAAGGTAAAAATGTTAACTTTACAGCTTCAAATTGACATGTCACTATGTGTGTGTGTGTGTGTGTGTGTGTGTGTGTGTGCGTGCATATGTGATGGCCGGTCTGCCACTGTTCTTTTAGTGTCTAAGAAAATGATCTGTTTTTGCTTCTGGCTGTTAACATTGTTGGAAAGTAATGCAAGTTGTGACATTCATTTTAGAAGTAAATATAAATGTTAGATGCAGTATAATATCTGCAATATTATATAAATACAAATCAAATAATCCATAGAGGAAAGGGTAATCGAAAATATACTAGTAAAGAACTTGCATGTAGAAAAAATATTCATCAACCTTTTTGTGTCTGTCACATTTTAAAAGTAGTCTGGTCAGCAAGTTGATGAAAAATTGTGGTTTAAGCACTTTAGACAGAAGCACTTCTCGTCTGACAAATGCATGACTTCAAACATGAATGCCCTTGGAAAATAATTTGTTACTTGTTTATGTTACATGCAGCCTTTGTGACTGTTTCTGAAGATACATTTAAATGGATGAAAATATTGAAATGCCTGCTCTTGTTGGGAGGTGTTTCTACAGGGTCTTTCCACATTTACAATTTGTGTGAGATGTAACATTTGAACTACAGTCAGGTATAATTTTCAGGGACTCACAAGTCTTTTAGTTAGGGAAGTGGTTGTATGTTTTATTATTTTTTTAAAGCAAAATAGCATGTGCCATAAACTTTCTTTAAACCAGGGGTACCCAAACATTTTCCCTGAGAGGGCCAACATGAAAATCTATCTGGGGTTGTGGGCCAAATGCAGTAATATAACACATGAAATACAAATACTTTTTAAGTAAAGTTCTTYAGCAGCCAGTGTGGTGGCCTGCTTTTCTTTTAGTCTGCACACTTGGAGAAAGTCTGCCATACGCTCAAACARCAAAGGCTCATGGGACATTTCATAAATTGATAAAATATGCGTTTTTGTGGCCTTATAAAGTGGCCAAATCTAYGTGTGGTTAAATCTAAGCTAAATATATCTTGTTGTTACTTCATGTTTTATGTTTAAAGTCAGCACCATGAATGAAAACTACTTGCACTACAGCCCTTTATAAAGTYGTTTGACCAAGGGAAATACTGTGTATTTACAAAAGATGACAGGTAACAACCTTGTAACTTTGACAACTGTTGGTGGGCCAAATCAAATGGCTTGGTGGGCCAAATTTGGCACTTTGGGCCCCTCTGCTTTAAACATATTTCTAGGTCAACAAGACTTTTGTCTGATGTTTGGATTGGTGTCACCAAACTGCTTTTTGTTCCAGAGCTTTTCTTGTCTTTAAGCACACGTTTTGTTTTATATACCAAACAAATGAATTCAGTCTGATGGTGACTCCCTTTTTTGACTATAGTTCCATTCTTATCAGCTGGTAGCTCAGTGGTCACAGAGATGACATTTCAAGAACATAATAATGTGTCATTGTATTTGGACTTGGATCAAAGTCAATAATATCTTTGCTGTGATCTGAGACGTGTCCTCTAAATATTTTACATTGTGATTAAGGAGGTCAGTGGTTTTTTTTTTTTTTTTTTTTTTTTTTTAGCAAAGAAGCCTGTAGTTAAAAAGAGAGTTTGGCTCTTTTGAAGTGAGGTTTTGTGAAAAGGTTATGAAAAATCAATCTCTTGCCTTTTGTAGTTAGCTTTTTGAATGGCATTATGTTGGAGTTATGCAGATATTTCAATTAAACTTATGGCAATATTTATTTAACAAAGACAGAAATACGTGGTCCAAGAATGAAGGGACTCCGTGAGATGATCAGCTGAGTTTTATTGCAACAACAGGAAACACAGACAACCTGGCCTGTCTCTGTGCCTCTGGTTCCCTCTGTCACTGTCTCTCCACTGTCCACTGTTGTACACTGTGTCTCGAGAGGCCTCATATATATATTAACAAACACCATTCTGTCATCAACAGGATTGTCTGTTTTGTTGAATGGAAGGGTCAGATGTGGTGGTGGGGCTCTTTGACTCTTTGTAGATCTTGGTTTAGTGCGAGGGGCTGGAAATGGAGGGTTACGTGGATTTGGACATGGTGTTTGTTTGATCTTAATCTCGCCAGGTTCTTCCATGTTGCTAGTAAAATCCTGGAGGGGGCATTCAACTTACCGTCCTGTTGGGGTCTCAGAGTCCAAGAGATCCTCTGTTTGTGATGCTGGTTCTGATTCTGCAGCAGTCTCCTTATCAGTAACTGGCACGCTGTGTTCCACTGATATCAGTTTTCTCCAGCTGTCCTTCAGACAGACGTCAGCTGTTGTGGTTTTTCCTGTTTGTTTCCAGCCAGAACTTTGTTCAGGAAATACTTCATGTTTGAAACCAGAAGCTGTGCTCCAGTTTGATTCAGAGACAGCCCATCTGACTTGAAGAGATTTTTTCTTTCCCAGTAGAGATCAAAGT